TCCATTGATGATGATCAAAATTTACAAGTAGGCAAAGTAAGAAAAATGCTGCCTGGGAATTGATTAGTTGGCTTTAAGGATATTTACTTTGCCTATATTGATATGGGATGTTGGCAATTTGTTTTAGTGGTTAGCAAGCTCTGATCTTTTTGAATCTCAATCTCTCCTGTCCTTAAATAATTAAAGTCTAAGCCCTGCTCAGAATTTCCTAGAACTGTGACAATTTGAAGAGGAAAAAATGAGGGGAAAAAACTTAAAAATAACCATTGATATTATCCATTTAACTTACAGAAAAATGAAAACCGAATTCTGCCAGGCCTAGTTGTTTTCAACTCAGTTCCTACCACCTTGGCCTAGGGGAGAAGATGCCCCATGCCATTAGGTGGCAGTGTTGCATCACAGATTACGTGACTATAGATTAGAAGTTGGGGACCTAGGAAATTTACCCAGATTAGATGGTGGGCTGGGGTGGCTGTTCCCCTTGCCCCTCTCAAACAATGAGGTTCTTATGGGATGGGCCAGTCTGTTGGGGTGGGCGGGCATGGACAGCCCCACCGGGGACAGACAGAGCAAGTCCCTGAGGGGTCGGGCTGTATCGGCCTCTGGAATTGGGGCAACTTACTGTGTCTCTGCCGCGACACCACCTGTGAAGAGAAGGGGAAACAGCCATTAAACAGGAGGGTTCTTGGTCCTGTGGACCTTGGGGCCTCAGCCGAAAGTGAAGGTCTCAGGATCGCTGTGCTCAGTGCGAGGTGTTTGAACAGGGAACCATTTTACAGCGACATAGGATGTTGTGCGCTGAGCCTGTGTGGGGAGAAACCCACCAATTGAAATGCAACATCGTATCCCACTGAAACCAGGGTATGGCAGTCAGAAATCCCCCTCTTAAAGGGGAGGCCGGTGGTGTCCTGGAGGTGGGGGGGCTGCCCCCAGTAAGGGCGGGGCAGTCGTTACTCACATATATTTATCCCGGAGATCTCGGCCGACCTGCGAAGGCAGAATCGGAGGTTCAGTGGAGTGGTGGGAGGCTGCTGGGAGCCCCTTTCCTCAGCCCATACAACCCCCAATTCCCCACGGTGCTGCAAAGGATTCTGGGTCACCACTTTCTCTTCTCTCCTTCTTTCCTAGCCGTTCATCCTCTTTTTCTTCCTCCGTCTCCTTCATTCTCTCTCCTTCCTCCCTCCCCCTTTTCCTCCTCTCCTCCTTTTCCTCTCTATTTCCTTTCCTCCATTTATTTCTCCTGTCTTTGCCCCTTTCCATTCGCTCATTCCCATCGGTCACACTCCAGTTCCCTCCTTCATTCTCTTTTCCTTACCCCTGCCCCTGATTCCCCCAGGGGAAGGGGGGCAGGTCGGGAGCCATGACTCCTGGGTTCTATCCCCAGGGGATCGAGGGACCTGTTGGAACAGATTTGCCCTCCCAGGGACAAATGGCTCCCGGCCCCATGGCGGGGCCTGGGGACCCAGAGGAACTTACATGGAGAGCCGGCGGCTAGCTGGGGAAGGAAGGAAAGAGATTGAATTAAAGCGAGATTCCACAGAGTCTCTCGTCCCCGTCTCTCCCCAGCAGCGGTGCCCCCTAAGGGGGAGCACTCTGCCATCCCGGACACCTGGGTCCCATCCCCCCTCCCAGTTTGTCCGGCCCCGGGTCTGGGACCTGAACGGCTCCCCCAGGGGTGAGGTGACTGTGCTGCTTCTTGGATGCTTGGGTCCCATCCCCCATCCTGCCCCCCACCTGAAGTTGTCTGGGTCTCAGCCCCAGATTTGTGTTCCCTTCCCCCCCAAAGCCAAATCACTCACATTCCTTTGTATCAGGAGTCTGCTGTGCCAAGTTACCCACAGTCCTTTGCACCAGAGTCCTGTGGTACCCAACTACCCATGATCCCTTGCATGGCAGTCCTGCTCTAGCCAGTTACCCACAGTCCTTTGCAACCGGCTCTTGCTATCCCACGTCACTCCTTGTGGGGGCTGAGAGCGCTGAAGGCGCCCCCTAGGTGAGAACATTCCTGTCCCTCATGCCTGGGTCCCATCCCCCACAGGCACTGAGAGCTGCGGTGCCCCCTAGGGGTGAATGCCCTGTGCTGCCATCCCGGACGCCTGGGTCCCATTCCCTATCCTACGCCTCACGCACCTGCCTTCTTCTTCCTGCAGAGGCAGATGAGCAGCAGCAGCAGAGCCAGAGCCGTGGCAGCCCCACTGCACCCAGCCACCAGGGGGATGGGCAGAGACCAGGCTGGTAAAAGGAGGGGATGAGTTAACAGCCAGGAACAAGGGAGGGGGCAGCATCTGGGGACCCTCTAACTGCTCCAGACCCCATCCAGGGCAGGGGACAATCTGGGCCCTCCCCTTTAAGGAGGGATTTTTTGCCTGCCAGATGCTCTTGGTACCGCCCATGTTGAAATGCTGCCACCTGGTGTCAGGCTCAGATACTGCACCCCTGGGGCCATGTGTGGTTCTGTCGCCCCCCCCGCCCAACATGTGCTGTGTCTTGGCTCCAGGGTCTCCCCCAGGGTAGCAGGTGTTGGGGTGCTGGGGTTATTGCGGGGTGTGATTACAGGCCTCACCTGTCACGGTGACGTTCACAGCCTGGCTCCTGGGGGATGGGATCCACCTCCTGCCCATGTTCACCTCGTACCCGCATCTGAATTGCCCGGTGTTGCTGGGACCTGCTCGCAGGATGCTGAGCATAGAGACTGTCATAGAGCCGGTGCTGGGCTCTGTGGTGCTGATCTCAGACCCTGTGTCCCCAGAGACGATCTCAGCTCCGTCCTTGTATAAGTGAAACCTCTTCTCTCTGGTGTTCCCAGGGGCCATGCAGGTGATGAGCAGGGGGAGCCCTTCGCTCACCACTCCGGACGGGGGATCCACACTCAGTAATGGCTGTGGAGGGGGATCTGAGGGGAGCAGGACAGGGGAGAGGTCAACAGAGAAACCACAGTGCTGAGTGTGGGAAAGGGGCGGCTATACTGTATAATGGGCATTAGGGGCAGCAGAGGGTGGGGGTGGGGAAGGGGTGGCTATACTGTATAATGGGCACTGGGGCAGCAGAGGGTGGGGGTGGGGAAGGGGCGGCTGTACTGTATAATGGGCACTAAGGCAGCAGGGGGTGGGTGAGGGCTGTCTATAATGTAGAATGGGGGCTGTAGGTGTCCGTACTTTTGATGTTCAGTGGCACCGGCTCGCTGGGGGGTGAGCGGAGGTGGTGCCCGTGGAGCTCTGTGCTGTACCCACACCGGTAGGTCCCGCTGTCGCTGGGGGTGACGTTCCGGGGGAGCTGGGGCCCCGGCGGCTCTGGAAGCAGTTCCCCGTCTCTCAGCACCCAGTGGTGCTCATCCCCTTTGTTCTCTTGCCTACTCAGCCGGCAATTGGGGTGAACCAGCCCAGCTCCCCCAGTCCCCTCTGGTGGGACTCGCTCTCCGTGCCCCTGGGCGCCCCACCAGCCCTTCCGTGTCCCTGCTCCAGCTGGGATCTGGCGTCTCCCAACACGGGTGCCCAGAACCGGAGTCAGGCTTCCAGCTAAGCTTGGCCAGCCCCTGGGAGCCCAATGGGGTCACCTTCCCCCTCAGACCTGGCTCCGTGGAGCTCAGCTGGGGGACGGTTCACCCCAGCCTCTTTGGGGTTCAGTGTGCAGGGGGACGGGGGATGGGGAGCAGGGGAACTAGGGACAGGGTGCAGGGATGCAGGGGGCACAGGGCAACAGGTGCAGGGATGCAGGGGGATTGAGTGCAGGGGTGATTGGAGTTGAGGTGTAGGGGCACGGGGGATGGGGTGTAGGGGCGATGGTGTGCAGGGGGACAAGGGGACAGGGTGCAGGAGCAACGGGGG